CATCAAAGATCACACAACAGAAGTGTGCACTCTCTCTCTCTCTCTCTCTCTCTGCTTACCGTTAAGTAATTGTGCTTTGTTTTACTTACTTGTTTTTGACGTATCCGACCGAACTACAAACTTTCCAGTGATGTCTGTGAGAAAGATATATTCACTCGATAAGCTCACGCATCTGTGCCGCCGCGCGCTCAATCCACTCAGCCGTGCTTTGTTTATCAGCTCGCGCACATCAGCTATACAGGCGTTAATACTGAAAGTTTAACGTTATATTAATTGCATACATATACTTCGTAGACATCCTTAATCTCTAATAACTCCATTCTGCTGTCTGTTGTTCTGTTGTCGGTGTTTCTATATGGCACTTATCACATGCTGTGTGGTATCGGCGTTTGGTATCGGGGCATTTTAATGAGTATGAGTACAAGAGCTCAGTATCGGGCCCGATACCAGTATCGGTATCGGTAGGGCTGGGTATCGACCGAATTGCCTCAATATCGAAAAATTTTGAACGATACCCAGCCCTAGGTATCGGTGCATCCCTAATACATATATATATATACACACACACACACATATATATATATATTCTGTATACACTATAATAGCATACACTACAATAGACTTGAATAATAAAACATTTTGTTATTTAGTCTCTTATACTCACCAAGGGTGCATTTATTTAATCAAAAATACTGTAAAAACAGTAATATTCTGGAAATGTCACATTCTAAAATAGTTTTTTATTTCTTTCTGTGATTTCAAAGCAGTCATTACTCCAGTCTTCAGTGTCACATGATCTCTCATAAATCATTGTAATATGCTGATTTGATGCTCAAGAATCATTTCTTATTATCAGTGTTGAAAATGGTGTTTGCTTCTTAATGTTTCTGTGGAAATACTTGTAAATTTTTCAGGATTCTAGTCAAAGTTCAAAAGAACAGTATTTATTTGAAATATAAATCTTTTGTTACATTATAAATGTCTTTACTGTCACTTTTAATCAATATTCTATTAGAGTATAGTATAATATGATGTGATATAGTACAGTATAAATAGTCCAGAGAAGCAGAGATGTACTCTGGTCAGGAATGGCTGAGATCAGCTAATTGCATGTTTATAGTAAGTGTGTTTTATTCTGAACCTGTTGTTGTGTTTCAGGGTTGGTTCAGCCCGGGCCAGGTGTTTGTTCTGGATGAGTACTGCGCTCGATACGGGGTGAGGGGCTGTCATCGTCACCTCTGCTACCTGAAAGACCTGATGGACTTCTCCGATAACAACGCCCTGGTGGACCCGACCCTCCTACACTACAGCTATGCCTTCTGTGCCTCACACGTCCACGGAAACAGGTATTACAGTAGGTTCACAAATGCTGGGTTATTTTGTACAACTTTTCATTGACATTAAATTTACATTTATGCATTTGGCTTTTATCCGAAGTGACTTCCACTGCATTCAAGGTACACTTTTTTTATCAGTCCGTGCTATTTCTGGGAATCGAACCCATGACCGTGGCAATACTAGTGCTGTTTAGGCTACAGGAAGGACGTCCGAACAGAATAAAATTCATATAAAAGACTAAATCAGTTTTATTAATAGTGTCATGTTTTTGCAAACAATTTTACTGTACTTGTAAGTGATTTTATATACAAGTATTGTGAGTTATGTAATCAGATTACTTTTTTCAAGTAACTAGTAAAAAAAAACATTACTTTCAAACTTACTATAAAATATCTGAGTTACTTTTTCAAATAAGTAATGCAAGTTACTTTATTTTCCCGTTTATTAATTTCACTTTTGGTGTGAAAGAGCCTTTACAGTTGCCAAAAATATAACTTTTGGGTTTTATTGTTATTAAAAAACAAAAGCAAGCCCAGCTCAGGTGAGAAAAAGTAACGCAAAAGTAATGTAATGCATTACTTTCCATAAAAAGTAACCAAGTAACACAACTTTTTTTTATGGAGTAACGCAATATTGTAATGTGTTACTTTTAAAAGTAACTTTCGCCAACACTGTGTGTGTGTGTGTGTGTGTGTGTGTGTGTGTGTGTGTGTGTGTATGTATATAATATATAAAATATTTTAGGGTCAAAGTTGATTCGTAGATTTACGAAAATAGTTTACAATAACTGGTTCTTCAAATAAGGTTCATTTGTTTTGTTTGGGTATTAATAGTGTAGTGTTTACTGAAACCAGGAAAAAAAAAATGATCTGAAGTAAAGGGATAAACACTGCACTTAACATACTTTTTGGAAGCGTGTGTATTTAACTATATAATAGATGTAGGATATATAACCGCGAGTACGCTGTTGTGAAACAGGTGTGTTTTTGTATCGTTTCTAATTGCTGTACAAGACACTATAAGGTAAAGAGAAGGGCACAGCCGCTTGGCTCATGTAACCTTGGAGTTCACTCCACATCAGAGCAGCCCATTAAAAAGGAACTGGGATAAATTGGATTGAAAGTTGTCATTGCAATCATGTTTCTTTCTATTGTATCTTCTCTATCAAAAAAATGAAGATTAAAAAAATGCAATTTGGGCAAAGCCCTTGATTTGTGAAAGAGTGCTTGAAACCCGAGCCGTGCAAGGCACAGAAACTTCACTCAAGGTCTAGGGTATTGTATTGGCAATGGTTCAATATGCACTTGCGTGCAGACGTGAACCTCTCTGTCCCTGTTTAGTACTACGTTTAGGGTGCAATGGACCTTTCGCTGCTTGTAGAAAGAAGCCTTAGAAACCCAAAAAGCAGAAGAAGACAAGAATTTGACAGTCGTTGAAGGACCAGGCGATCAATATTCAATATTTATTCTAATATCTTAGAACGACTTTCACAAAAATTATCACTGTACAACGAGAAATGTATTTACAGACTACAAAAGCAAATCCAAGTGCTGATCATGGTGTCTCTTTTCCAGGGTTAGTAGCTAGTCAAACAAAGGTTTAAAATGGTGACCTCCGACATGGCCATGGCATGGGCCACGGATTGAGCAGAAACAACTTTTTAAACCTCAATAAAATTACGTGTGTGTATAATATATATATATATATATATATATATGTGTGTGTGTGTGTGTGTGTGTGTGTGTGTGTGTGTGCACAGTATATAAGTGCTGTCAAATGATTAACGATGTCAAAGGATGTTTACATATTATATCTGTGTGTACTGTGTATATTTATTATGTATATATAAAACACACATGCACGTCTATATTTAATAAATATGTTATCTTCATATATATATATATATATATATATATATATACAGTGGTGTGAAAAAGTGTTTCAAGATATTTTTTTGGCAAATGAGAGACGAGCCTTTGTGTTCTTTTTGGTCAGCAATGACTTTTGCCTTGGCACTCTCCCATGGATGCCGTTTTTGCCCAGTCTCTTTCTTATTGTTGAATCATGAACACTGACCTTAATTGAGGCAAGTGAGGCCTGCAGTTCTTTAGATGTTGTTCTGGGTTCTTTTATGACCTCTTGGATGAGTCGTGGTTGTGCTCTTGGAGTAATTTTGGTTGGCTGGCAACTCCTGGGAAGGTTCACCATTGTTCCAATTTTTCTCAATTTGTGGATAATGGCTCTGATCATGGTTCTCTGGAGTCCCAAAGCCTTAGAAATGTCTTTATGATCCTTTCCAGACTGATACATGTCAACTGTTTTGATTCTGATCTGTTCTTGAATTTCTTTAGATCGCGGCATGATGTGTTGCTCTTTAAGCATGCTTCACTTTGTCAGACAGGTTCTATTTAAGTGATTTCTTGATTCAACAGGTCTGGCAGTAATCAGGCCTGGGTGTGGCTAGTGAAATTTAACTCAGCTTTCTAAAATAATGTGGTTAATTGCAGTTCTTTCATGATTTAACAGGAGGGGGCAATTAATTTTTCACGTAGGGCCACGTAGGTTTGGACAGCTTTTTTCCCTTAATAAATGAAATCATCATTTAAAAAATGCATTTTGTATTTACTTGCATTATCTTTGTGTAATATTTAAATTTGTTTGATGATCTGAAACATTAAAGTGTGACAAACATGCAAAAAAAATAAGAAATCAGGAAGGGGGCCAACACTTTTTCACACCACTGTATATATGTATTTACTATTTGATTTTTTTTTTTTATTCAGATGTGTTATACAATTAGCACAGACAATTACATTTCATATAGGATAGTAGATTTTTTTGTGTAGTGTATAAATTTCATTGTTATTGGAAAGATATTTTAAAAATATAATGTAAGCACCTGACCACATGCAAAAAAAGATGTTCTGTTATAATTTCTCTGTGAAAATAAGCACTTTAGAAACACCTCACAGCCCTTTCAAACAGCAAGGAACATTTGCTTTCCAAGGAGGTTGTGCATTTTGAATTCTCACGTATTAAGTGTTTGAAATCAAGGATTTCATTTGTGTTGGACAAATGAGAAGTCCCACATGTTTGATAGATCACAAAAAGAAGAAAAAAACACTTCGAAAGGCTTTTGTCCGCACATAATGTGTGGGCATACAAAAGGAACGACAAGACTGAAGAATTTCTTTAATCACTCGGGAGGCACTCAGCATGGCAGCCATGTTCCCGCTTCACTCAAACAGAGAGCGTCTGCTTGGCAAATTAATTAATGGATCCCTATTATCTCAAAACGCAAAGCAATTAAACCATAATTACGGAGTCCATTTGTGCAGTTTCTACATTTTAATCATTTTTCTTTCATAAGACCTCCGAGGATCAGAATTTCATATAACAGGCTTGTTTTCTGTAATTGATTGTGCAAATTATTGACGGTTCAAGACGGAAATGCGCTTTACGTTAGCGGTGAGAGGACTGAATGTGGCTCGGGTATGAGCAGTGTCCCTTGTCCACTTGTTGGCGAAGTCCTTTGTGTTTAGCGTACACTGGAAGCTGTTCGTTTTCCACTTACCTCGAATCAGCCGTCAATTGACTTATTAGATGTTAAATACACACGGATGTGCTCCCTCTCTTTGATGGCTTATTTAGTCAATTAGGAACAGTAATGATTAGCCTCTTTAGCTAATCACCAGTTACAAATGAGGAAAATTGGCATGAGTAGCTTTTTGTTGGAGGAGGTGTCATTTGAATAATGACAGTTCAGCTGTGTAGCCCACAGAGAGTGTTCATGGGAGATTCAGAAGGCACAAAAAGTGAAGTAAATAAAAAGAATGAACTCTTTAAAGCATGATATCCATTATAGTGCACAGATCTTCCAAAGACATTTTTACCCATTCTTGATGTTACCATTATATTTTATATAAATACCTCGTGACCTTGTTATATTTCAAAGCCTATTAAATGTTAAAAATAGTGACTTTCAATTATACTGTAATGTTGAATGGCTATAATTAATTGCTAAAATTGAGGGAAAATATAGAGATAAAGATATCAGTAGCAGTATTGGTATGATTGATACTGGCCTTCATTAATAATAGGCTACTTAGTAAAAAGATTATTTAAAATATACCATCTTTGTTGTTTATTAATATGCAATTAATTCTGATTAATTACAGAAAAATGTTTGATTAATTATTAATTGTTTTTAATTGATTCAGAATTTTTTTTTTTCTTCTTGGAATTGTGCAAAAAAAACATCTAGAATTGTGAAATATAAACTCAGAATTCTGACTTTTTTCTTGCAGTTCTGAGTTTGTTTCACAATTCTGTTTTTTATTCCTCTGAATTAAGTGTTTATCTTACGCAGTTTTTGTTTTTTGTTTTGGCTTCCATGGAAGAAAAAATAAAAAAGGGATCTGCAACTTTTTATCTCACAATTCTGACTTCTGGCACATGTTAGTTTGTAATTCACAGTTTTGGCTTTTCTTCACAGAGAATTGTCTGAATTGTGAGGTAAAAACTCTTAAATACCTATTTAACTTTTTATCCCGTGGAGGAATCAAGTTTTCGTTAAAAATGCATTATATATGAAATGATAATATTCTTGTTTAATAAACCTTTTAATAAAACTTGTTTTAATAAAAAAAGGAATTTTACTTTATAATAATACAACAAATGTTGTTTTGAGAAATACAAAAAACTATAATCAGCTAAAACTGGTAAAAAGAGAAGCTAAAGTCCACAAATGAGATCATTTTTATCTAATGTGAGTTTCAAGGCTTTTTAACATGTGCACAGCTAGAAAATAACGCTGGTCCAGACAACCTTGAATCTTCAGCTCAGATGCGAATGCATCCGCTCAACTGATCTAACACATCAGTCAATAACTCAAAGAGCACTAGTGACCGTGCAGCCTTGCTCACGGTGAGTGTGCAGCTTCAAACCTGGGAAGAAAATATCTTAGAGTTGCCATCTTCTTTATCTTCATTTCATGACGGCTTTATTT